TCTAGATGAATCCCATTGGTAATACCAGGAAGATGCAGCAGTTGAAACCTGAAAGAGAAAACCCATCCCTCCCCTAAGAATAACATGTAGGGAGGACCCCCCCACAAACACACACAACCCCCAACACACACACTGAAACCAAAACTCTAATAACAACAAAGGAAAAAGTAGCTATGTGGTGGTGTAGAAAGTTCCTTTTTGCATTCGCCATTCTCTTTGCCTGGAATGCAAGTAGAAAATTTTTTCAGGAGTCAAAATTGTACATCACAACCAATCCTCACTACCTGGATCCTCTTTGCTCCTCCTTAATTTTCTTCCCTAGTCCCATTTCTCTTCCTTTCAGTATTCTTCTTTTCTGTATGAATCTCCACTGTGGATCCCTTTCCTCTTTTCTTCCCTTCCTTCCTTTCTTCCTTCCCCCACTACCCCAATTTCTCTCTCTCATTCACTTCCTACTATGTGCCAGGTATTGTTCTAGGTTCAAGGGATAGAGCAATGAATGAAACCTAGAAGACTCCTGATATTGTGGCACTTATATTCTGTAGTGGAGTGGGGAGAATGGAGGGGGAAAAAGGTAAAATAATAAATTTCAGGAAATAACAAGAGCTTTGAAGGGAATCAAACTGCATAAAGTGATAGATGACCTGGGAATTGGGAAGGGATAAGAATGCTTTAGATGGGATGAAAAGTCTGTTGGGGGAGGAGGGTTTAAATTTTAATTGAGATCTGTATACAGGAAAGATTCGGCTAAGAGAAAAGCATTCCAGATAGACAGAATGGCAGTGCAAATTCCCTTTGTGGTAAGAACCAATGTAACAAGTCCAAGGAAGTGAAAGAGAGCGGGTGTGACTATAGCTTGGAGAAAGAGGATGGAAGTTTTGCAGGGACAGGTCACATCTGGCCTGGAAGGTAATGTAGGGGTTTGTATTTTATTCTAAGTGTGATAGGAAGCCGGGTCCTAGCAAAGGGATGAATTATTTATCCAGAACACTATCCATTATTTTGTCCCTTTGTATTCTCCATAGGCTAGCCCTATAAACATTTCATGACAGTGGGGCAGACATAGAGGACTTATTACATAAAGGAGTCTGGGACACACAGCAGGTGACAGATGTGAGAGCCTCTGCTTCACTCGACCTCCTGTCTACTTCACCCATCTCTCTGAGCTACCCTGTTCCTACATAAGTATGCCATCTGTCCTTCTTTTTGCCTTTGGATTTTCATCTGGTTTTACCCCCAAATTATTAACATAATACTTAAAAAAATCACTCATCTATGTTTCTGCATAGGTCATTAGGGAAAAGATCATGAAAATCTGTTAATTTTTTTTATGGTTGCCATGGGCGGAAGGATGGGGGGAAGAAATAATTAGGGAGTTTGGGACAATCATGTACACACTGCTATATTTAGAATGGATAACCAAAAAGGACCTACTGTATAGCACAGGGAATTCTGCTCAATGTTATGGGCTAGCCTGGATGGGAGGGGAGTTTGGGAGAGAATGGATACATGCATATGTATGCCTGAATACCTTCCCTATTCATCTGAAACTATCACAACATTTTTAATCAGCTACACCCTAATACAGAATCAAAAGGTTTTTTAGGGAAAAAAAAGGAAAATCTGTTAAATTTTAAAGCAGAATTCCACATTCATTGCAGAGAGATGACTCACAACAATGCTGTAATCCGACTACAGGAAGCCATAGCACATCTCCATTGCAGTTATATTAAGTACTTTAAAATTACATCTCCAATCATCTTTGACATAGTCCCAAAGGTATTTCAAACAAAATCCAACCTAAAAAAGACAGTGTCAGTTAATGAACATTTCTCAGCAAATTCATGTGGTCGGGATAAAAATATCCAAATGGTTCGTGTGACTTTAAAATTACCCAATTTATATCATGTCACCGTAATTCAAAATGCATCATAGTATATATAAAAATCCCACAATAATCAAATCCAATTAGAATGTCTCTTTACACAAATTAAGTTACCAATTAAACAAATTCCCTCAAATGAGGACTGTATCCAAGGTAAATTAAATTAATCCTATCATTATATTCATCCTACTTGTATTCTCTAGTTGCACTGTAGTATTCTCACTTTTTAAAAATTATGACAGTAGAAAAACATACACACACACACAATTCAAATGTTTCCATTTAAGAAATATAAGAAAATCAGTTAAGTATTTTTAAGCAAACAGCCCATACTTTTGAATGGCTACCTTGGGACTCCACAATAGTGTGAGTGTGTAGGTGGTTTTGATACTATTCACCATATCAGAAAAATCCAGCTACAGAAATGAGAGAAAACCAAGGCTTCTTAGGATGCCTCAGTGAAATGGTTCATTTATTTGAACTGATAAGTCTATGCAAATACACTCAGTCACAATAGGGAGCTTCTTAGACCTGACAATAAGTTAAATTCTGAAAAGTATGCAGGACTATTAAAGATCTTCACCCTTCTGGTAAATTATGTCTCTTGATACTGGAAGGGGACTTTAGTTTCTCCCTAGCCCCCGCTTAGGATTAAATAAAAGACCTCAGCTTTGGTGTAAAGCTGTCAGCAGTCCTAATCCAAGACAACATACACAATTTGGACTCTAGGAATGAGAGACAAAAGGAAAGGTGATCTAGAAAATGGGTAGGGATAAAAGTGGGTAGGATTGTTGCCTCTGCAGAAAATGTCCAAGGATGGCAGATTCTAGTTAAGATCAATGTGGGAAGATGTCTTAGTGTGTAGGTAGAAAAATAAGACAAGACAAAGATGACCTCAGCCATTGAGAGGGAAGGAGTCACAGGAAGGGATGTCTGTGCAGTAGACAATGGAATTAGAAAAGAGCAGAAATGAAAACCAGCAAAGATTCTGATCTAGGGATTAGCTAGGTTAAATGTTCTGTCATTGGACACAAACTTTCCATGAGGAGATCTAATCATTAATGCAACAAACTCAAATTAGTTCTAGGTTGGGGGTGGTTCTGTTCTCAGACATGGGGCTGAACCTGTTACTGGGGTGGGGGTGGAGGGATGAAAGGGTGGAATCTGAGCATCTCAGTAAGTCACCTAGCAGCTCTGGTCACTTTGGACATTCCCGGAGGATACACAACCACTCACTATAACAATACAACATACACGGACACCTGTTTGTTCCCCAAGACCAACACCACAGTGAGTTTTTACCATCTTAGCTTACAGAGACATTATTTCATCCAGGTTACAGATTTCACAAAAGAGAATTTGACTACATAGATATTTATAAAATGAATGTGGTTGAAAAAAAAGTACAGGGACTTGAAGTCAGAAAAGCTACTACATTCCAGTCCTCTCTGCTGCTGTTCAGCTGTGTGAAACTGAAGTCCTTTTACATCTCTGGGCCTCTTTGTTCATCTGTAAAGTGTGGCGATGAAGCCCTGTTACTCCCTTGATGTTCTCAAGCAGGTTCCAAGACAGTAGCTCACTGTGAAAACTTAAAGCAAACAGAAGACGTGGCACTGAAACACAGCAGGGAGCTGCTTGAACTCTAATGTAATCACCCACCGCCATGAGGACTCTTTGGCCACTGGTTGCTAAGTATTGTCAAAAGACATTTATTTGTAACTTTTGAGAAAAGTAATTTTCAGATGCTAGTCTTGGAATAGGCTCAACTGGAGTCTTAGATCATTTTCAGTTTGAATGAACAATTCTTATTTTGGGCTTGGTTGGAGGTGGGGCTAGATGAAACTGAGCTGTACATCCTTCTAAAGTCACAAGGAAAAGTCAATCTTTATTCTAGTAGTGTTTGGTCAGGAACAGCTGCTCCATAGGTGTCAGCCCTATACCCCATCTCACACTTTAAATATCACTAATACCTTTATCCAAAATACACTTGAGTTTTATATGCTTATTATAGGAGAGAAGAGCTAATATTCACCAAATGTCCTTTATGAGATAAGCACTTGCCAGTGTTTTACCCATATTCTGTCATTTAATCCCCAAGGCAACTTAAAAGGGTAGATATCACTCTCCCCATTTTACAGGTGAGAAACATGAGGCTCAGAGTGTTTATAACTTGCCCAAGTTCACACCACTAGGACATGACAGAGATTTGATATAAAAATTCAGGTCTTCTGACTTCAGTCCCTACTTTTTCTTCTGTAACATCGTGCTATAGAAGAAAAAGAATAAGGGTGAATGATTAGCCAGCAAAGTTGGGGAAAAGGATATGCTATTAGTAAAAAGCTCACCCATTCTACATCATTCTGCAATGTCCAACTTTCAAAGAATTAGAATACGATAGAAATCTTCAATATTAAATTGAAAACTAAACATAAGCAATCTGACTTGATGATCCAGAAGGTGCTTTCAGATCTTGCTGTGCCTTAAAGTTCTCACAATCAAAACTGATTATCAGTGCGATACGGATGTGTGGAAAAGAAAATGCCAGGTAATAGTAGCCAGCTCATCCGCCTCCAAGATGGCAGGCACTATGCAGCTTTTATTATGTCATAGCAAGGAAACAAATAGAATCTATCAACATGGTCCTGCCTCTTGGGATATATATCCTAAATATATATCCATTCTTATTCCCAGTGAGAAAGAAGTCACTATAAGAGAATCTCTTCTTTCATCATTCATATTCTACCTTTAAAATCCTAAACCAGTTGAACCACTGTGCACAATAATTTTGGCAGTCACAAACTGTCATGAAGCAGAACGAAAAACAGGAGAATATAAGTGGTATTTAAATGTCCATCATTGAGTGGGTCAGACTGCATGAGGCAATGTGGCTGTGTGGAGGGCGAGGGGTCTGGGCCCTCAGTGAACAGCTTGCCTCTTGCCTGAGGGTTACCCAAGCCGACGTTCTTGACTTGTATTTAGTCTCAGCCATCCCAGTGCCTATATCCCTGGCAACCTTAAAACAATGAAATATCTGCAAGCAACCAGGTCCAAATAAAGAGCTCAACAGTTGAATCTCCAAGAAGTGGCCAGTTTCAGAAAGGCATTTCTTGGCAGGCTAGAGCAGACTGGGGTGAAAGTTGTACCGAAGGCTGGAGAAGAGTCCGATGTGTTTCACAAGATTGGGCTCCACCACGTAGGCCCGCTCCCCCTTGGCCCTCAACAGTGAGTACAGTGCCATGTCCTTGCCAAAGCCCTTGTGGCAGTAAACCTGGGACAGGTAGGTGAGGGTCCGACGGGCTGCGGGGGCAGGGAAGAGCATCGCGGGGGTGCAGCACTGCGATGCGGGGACCACGCTGTACAGTGAAGGACTCAGCCGCCGCAGCTCCAGGAAGTAGTGCCGGCCCACCAGCTCCACCAGACCCATGCTGTACACGGAGAAGAAGAGCATGACCGGCCAGCTAAAGCCCGGGCGGCTGGCAAACCGCGTGTACATCCATGTCAGTAAGGGCCCCAGCAGCATGCCGACACCGACCCACTCCAGGATCCGCATGGGCTCCGGGTTGATGTAGTGCTGGAGCCTCTCAGGGTGATAGAGCTTCAGATAGAGGGCGTCTCGGAGGTGCGGCTCAGAGAAGCGAGCCCGCAGAAGGTGCTCCAGGACTGGGAAGATCTGCTCCTCTGGGACGGCATCATCTTCCACCATCAGGACGTAGTCTGGGTTGTAGGTCTGCAGGGAGGATTCCAGACAATAGACGTAGTCCTGCTTCTCTTTCTCAAACGAGTTGGTGGAAGGGTCGTCGCCATAGTCGTCCTCGGTGCCCTCATAGCGGTTGGCCACGGGGACGTACTTGGACAGCAGCTTGGCATCGAAGTGGCTCACGCTCCGCTCCACATTGCACAGGAAGAGTTGGTGCCCCTCGCATTGGGGGCCACACTGTTGAAGGAGCCGGTGGAACTGGGATACCACCTGCAGGACGTAGTGGAAGCCAGGCTGTCTGTCCACAGTGATGATGGTGATGACCAGCCAGGGCCGCGGCGTGGCCTGCCAGACGATGGGCACCGAGCCGTTGGCAGAGGGCAGCTCCTCAAAGTAGTGCAGGGCGGCTTCACCTTCTTTCAAGCTTTGCTGTAGGAACTCTTGGCTCATTTGGTTCAGATGCCAGTGGCGCAGGTAGAAGTAAGAGTGGAGAAGCCGGTGGCAGGCCAGCGGGGCCAGCAGACCGAAGGTCACCACTGTTAAGATGAAGAGCTGGACAGCAGTGCTGCCCCAAGAGAGCCGCCTCAGCCTCCGGAGGAGCATGGCCGCTGGAGAGGTTGACATGCTCACGAGGTCGACTTCTGGTCAGGTCTGGTCCCAAGAACAAACCATCCTGGACCGCAGGCCAAAATCACTGCAAGTCAAACCTAAAGAGGGAAGAAGCAAAGAATGGTACAGGGCTTGAAAAAAAATGCAGGGATGGAACTCAGCACATATCAAACCAGAAATTCTTATTCTAGTCTGTGCTGCTGCTAGAGACTCAAGGGTCTTCTCCCATACTCTCTTTTGAGGTTGTATCTATTAGTGATTTCTGGGGTTCTTTGATCATTTCTATGAGTAATGAAACCTTGGTGCATTCAACCAAGTCTCCACACCTACAGACACTTAGTTAAGTGTCAGAAAAATAGTGGGCCAGAAAAATCACCAGAGAGGCTAGTAAAATCGTTATTTCAATTCAACAGCTACACAGACACAGGTTCTTCCAACTGACACAAAAATAGCAAGGCTTGACCCAAAGGAAAAACACATTTAGAGTAAGTTCCAAGGTAAATACACTGCAAGTACTTGTTGACTGACTATACAAAGTAATTTCTAAAAACTCTGTCTTCTTTTGTATGTCCCAAACAAGAAAGGGACTATTTAGGATTTCCTGAAATGTCTTTATTGACATTTTCCATTCCTTGTCCTCTAACTTTATGTAACTAAACTCAAAATTTCATATTAACTTAATCCTGATTGGTCTTCCATTTTATATTTTATAAAACTACCATGGGAACCAGTCAGAGACAGGATCTCCCTACATATGCAAGTGAACTCTAGAGCCCCAGACTTTGAAAGGGGAGGAAATATCTGAAGGAAGATATATGGGCAGCTTTTTGTGAGGTAGGGAAAGCGGAGGCAGAGAGGAAGATTGAAAAGTTGGTCCAGCCTGGTCCAGAAAGGAATGTAGCATGAGGTCTTCTCTCAGAGTTCAGGCCTGAGGTCAGGCACACGCTGGAGTGAAAATAGCTCAGTCACTCGCTTGGTAAAAGGTCACTTCAGCTCTCCACATCTCCCCACCTCTAAAGTGGAGGTAATAATAATACCCATCTCATAGGGTTACTGTGAAGATTAAGTGTGTTACAGAGCAAAACAATACAGAGTAAAAATGCCATTAAAATATATCCATATGGGGATTTCCCTGGTGGTACAGAGGTTAAGACTCTGTGCTTCCACAGCAGGGCGAACAGGTTCAATCTGTAGTTGAACTAAGATCCCACATGCTGTCCAGCACAGCCTGTGTACATGTATGTATATACACATGTGTGTGCTCAGTCACTTCAGTTGCGTCTGACTTTTTGTGACCCCATGGACTGTAGCTTGTCAGGTTCCTCTGTCCATGGGGTTCTCCAAGCAAGAATACTGGAGTCAGCTGCTGTGCCCTCCTCCAGGGGATCTTCCCAACCCAGGAATGGAACCTGCAACTCCTACACTGCAGATGGCTTCATCACTGCTGAGCCACTCGGAAAGCCTATATTTGTATAGCCTATATATATATATATATATACACACATATATACATATATATAGCCTATATATACATATATATAGGCTATATATATATAGATATAGATACACACACACACACACACACATACACAGACTGTACATACAAACTTAGTAATAGGAGTAAGAAGGTCTAAAATCCGAGGGAAAATAGACTTGCACCCAAAAACAGAACTAAAAGGACAAAGCCAGTATGACACCAGTAAGGTCAGTGTAAAATTAAATGGTGTCTAATAAAATAAAGGCAAATCTCTTACCTGAGAAGTATAATAAAGTTTGCACATATTGGGAAGAAAATAGCCTAGCTTGTGAGTTATCTTAAAGAAGAATTGGAGGAGCCAAGATGGCGGAGGAATAGGACGGGGAGACCACTTTCTCTCCTACAAATTCATCAAAAGAATAACCGAACGCAGAGCAAACTTCACAAAACAACTTCTGATCGCTAGCTGAGGTCATCAGGGGCCCAGAAAAGCAACCCATTGTCTTCGAAAGGAGGTAGGACAAAACATAAAAGATAAAAAGAGAGACAAAAGAGCTAAGGACGGAGATCCGTCCCGATAAGGGAGTCTTGCACTGGCGGGTCTGGGGGAAGTTTTTGAATCTCGGAGGGCAACCTGATTGGTAGGGGAACAATAAATAAAACCCACAGATTACGTGCCTAAAAGCAACTCCCAGCAGAAAAGTACCCCAGACACCCGCATCCGCCACCAGCAAGGGGGGTCGGAACGGAGAGGAGCGGGCGGCATTGCTTAGGGTAAGGACCGGACCTGAGTGCCCTGAGGACAATCGGAGGGAGCTTTTGTGAGTTACCAACTTAAACTGTGGGACAGCAAAAGAGAGAGAGAAAATTAACCGGCCCGAACACACTGCCAGCCGTTCGCAGAACAAAGGGACCGAGCAAGTCCAGAGAAGAGCTCACAGGCTGTGGACCGGCCCAGCCCCGCCGGAGGCAGGAGGCAGGGGGGAGGGGAAAGGGGCAGGCTCAGCCCCAGGGACCCGCAGCCCCTACCGCACTGCAAACAGGCCTCCAGTCTCTAATCAAAGACCTCCTGAGATTCTGGATGGTCGACATCCTCTGGGAGGGTCGCAGCGAGACACAGGGCGCAGGCACCCAACCAGCGCGGGCGGGGACTGGGGCTGGGGACACCGAGGGCAGAAGGTGGGCCGCACCCAGGGAGAGTGCGCCCGTCAAGCCCCTGGCTGCCTGAGCCGTTCTGACGGGGAAGGCACAAAAGCAGGCGCAGCTCTTTGTTCCAGGCTTTTGTGGAACACCCGAGGGCTGGAACCCCGTGCAGCACAGGGCACGCTCCATATAGAGCAGCCAGGAGCCTGAGCAGCATAGAGGGGAAAGCAGCGCCAGCCCCTCTCCGCAGCGCAACGGAACTAGCAACCTGAATAAGAGTCCACCTCCGCCCGCCTGTGTCAGGGCGGAAATTAGGCACTGAAGAGACCGGCAAACAGAAGCCAAACAAAGGGAACCGCTTCAGAAGGGACCGGTGCAACAGATTAAAATCCCTGTAGGTGACACCGAGTACACCGGAAGGGGCCTGTAGATATCGAGAAGCGTAAGCTGGAATGAGGAGCTATCTGAAACTGAAACGAACCCACACTGACTGCAACAGCTCCAGAGAAATCCTAGATATATTTTTACCTTTTTTTTTTTAAGTAAAAAAAAAAAATTTTTTTTTCTTTTTTCTTTTTTATTTTTTCTCTTTTATTTTCTTTTAAAATTCCCTATTACTCCCCCATTACTCCTTAACTTTCATTTTCATAGATTTTTACGATTTTTTTAATTAGGAAAGATTTTTTTCTTTTTTTTTGTTTTTTGTCCTTTTTCTCTTCTATTTTCTATTTTTCTTTTTCTCTTATTTCCTTTTAAAGTCCTCTATTACTCCTCTACTACTCCTTAATTTTCATTTTCATTACACTATAACCTTACAAAAAAAAAAGAGAAGTCCTATTTTTAAACCTAACTTCATATATATTTCTAAAATTTTTGTGTGTTTTGGTTTTGTTTTTAATATAGTATTTTTAAGAGTCTAACCTCTACTCTAGATTTTTAATCTTTGTTTTTCAGTATATGATATAAATTGTGGACATTTAAGAATCCAATATTCAGTTCCCATTTTTATTCAGGAGTGTGTTGATTACTCTCTCCCAATCTTGACTCTCTGTTTTCTACCTCAGAACACCTCTATTTCCTCCTTTCCCCTTCTCTTCCTAATCCAATTCTGTGAACTTTGTGGGTGTCTGGGGTACAGAGACCACTCTGGGAACAGACAACTGTGTAGATCTGTCTCTCTCCTCTTGAGTCCCCCTTTTTCTCCTCCTGCTCACCTCTATCTCCCTCCTCCCTCTCCTCTTCTTCATGTAATTCTGTGAACCTCTCTGGGTATCCCTAACAAGGGAGAATCTTTTCACCATTAACCTAGAAGTTTTATTATCAGTGCTGTATAGTTGAAGAAGTCTTGAGACTACTGGAAGAATAAAACTGAAATCCAGAAGCCAGAGACTTAAGCCCAAAACCTGAGAACACCAGAAAACTCCTGACTACATGGAACTTTAAGTAATAAGAGACTGTTCAAAAGCCTCCATACCTATACTGAAACCAACCACCACCCAAGAGCCAGTAAGTTTTAGAGCAAGACATACCACGCAAATTCTCCAGCAATGCAGGAACATAGCCCTGAACGTCAACATACAGGCTGCCCAAGGTCACACCTAACACATAGACCCATCTTAAAACTCATTATTGGGCACTCCATTGCACTCCAGAGAGAAGAAATCAAGTTCCACGCACCAGAACTCCTACGCATGCTTCTCTAACCAGGAAACCTTGACAAGCCAAATCGTCCAACCCCACCCACTGGGTAAAACCTCCACAATAAAAAGGAATCACAGACCTCCAGAGTACAGAAAACCCACTCCAGACACAGCAATCTAAACAAGATGAAAAGGCAGAGAAATACCCAACAGGTAAAGGAACATGAAAAATGCCCACCAAGTCAAACAAAAGAGGAGGAGATAGGGAATCTACCTGAAAAAGAATTTAGAATAATGATAATAAAAATGATCCAAAATCTTGAAAACAAAATGGAGTTACAGATAAATAGTCTGGAGACAAAGACTGAAAAGATGCAAGAAATGTTTAATAAAGACCTAGAAGAAATAAAAAAAGAGTCAGTTAAAAATGAATAATGCAATAAATGAGATCAAAAACACTCTGGAGGGAACCAAGAGTAGAATAATGGAGACAGAAGATAGGATAAGTGAGGTAGAAGATAAAATGGTGGAAATAAATGAAGCAGAGAGGAAAAAAGAAAAAAGAATCAAAAGAAATGAGGACAACCTCAGGGACCTCTGGGACAATGTGAAACGCCCCAACGTTCGAATCATAGGAGTCCCAGAAGAAGAAGACAAAAAGAAAGGCCATGAGAAAATACTCGAGGAGATAATAGCTGAAAACTTCCCTAAAATGGGGAAGGAAATAGCCACCC